GGCACGCGCTACCACGCCCAGCTGATTTTTTGATTTATTGTAGAGATGAGATCTCGCCTGCCCAGGCGGGTCTCGAACCCGCGGGCTCAGGCAGTCCACTCACCTCAGCCTCCCAAAGGCGCGGGATTACAGACTGAGCCACGGAGCCTGGCTAGAATTTTTTTTTAGATAACACTTGAGTTGCCAAATTTGGTTATAACTTCTTGGCACAAGATGGGTAAAGTTGCTTTGCGTTGTGCAATTTCATTTTAAATGCTTCGTCTTTTTTTTTTTTTTTTTTTTTTTTTTTGAGTTGAGGTCTCACTCTGTTGCCCAGACTGGAGTGCAGTGACATGGTCCAGGTCACCGCAGCATCGACCTGCTGGGCTCCAGGGATCCTTCCTCCTCAGCCTTCCGGAACTACAGGCGTGCGCTACCACACCCAGCTAATTTTTTGATTTATTGTAAATATGTGGTCTCGCCAAGTTGCCCGGGTGGGTCTCGAACCCGCAGGCTAAGGCAATCCACTCACCTTGGCCTCCCAAAGTGCTGGGGTTAGAGGCTGAGCCACCAAGTCAGGCCTGAATGCTTCATCTTTTATGCACACGAACTTTATCTAGGATTAGGAAACTGAGAACTATATATGTCTGTAACAAATAGTTATCTCTAGTGTAAACTGTGGAAATGTAGACAGTTAGAGATGGACAGAATCCAGAACATGTTTAAAGGTAAAAAAGTGAAAATGTAGACATTGGACTGGAGCTGTAGTCTCTTTAAACATGTAACTATAACAGAGTTTTTTTAATATAGATACAGTTGAGGAAAACTCAGTGTTATTATTAGGAGACTGTCATAGATCATATTCCCTATTGCCATTATCCTTAATTTTAACACTTGTCTGTCAATAAAAGACTAACGATAATTTGGTCTACTAAATTATTACTATAACTTAAGTATTTACACTATACTGTCAAAAGTGAAAACACGTCAGATTTTGAAACTTCTGATCCCTGATGATAGTGACAGGAGACTGGAAGGACACTTAAAAAAAAAAACCTGACTCTGTGCTAGATACTGTTAAGTACAATGTCCTTACTAACCCCCTGGGTCTTTCTGTCCAATTGAGAATATAAGACATAAGCACATGAAAGAACTGGTAAGCAAGAATTAATTATGTAAATAAATGTTATGTCTCTTTTAGGGTCAAACAGTAAAGTACATAGACAGAATTAGAGATGTAGACTTTTTTTTCTGGCTTAGAGAACTGTTTGATCAGCTAATATGAAGTCAAGTCCCTTGGGCTACCCAAGCACAACATTAAACTGCTAGAAAAGCAGTTATGAAAGGAAAATTTTAAAGGGTTTTTAGTGAAGCTGGATACTGAGAACTATATATGTCTGTATATATAGTTCTGGCATAGTTAATGTAGTTTTTCCTCAGATACTGTTTGTAGTTTATTGATATTTATCAGAGAATTGATGTTTATTTTCAGAATCTATTACCATAAGAAATTCATGATTGATCACTTAATATGTGCAGGGCATTCTAAATACTGATAACATAGTGCTGAACAGAATCAGTTAGGATCCCCCACTTCAGTAAACTGACAGCCTAGTGGTAAAGGTAAACATTAATCAAAGACCGGGGACAGTGGCTCAAGCCTGTAATCTCAGCACTCTGGGAGGCTGAGGCGAGAGAACTGCCTGAGCCCACGGGTTTGAGACCAGCCTGGGCAACATGACGAGACCACATCTCTACAATAAATCAAAAAATTAGCTGGGCATGGTAGCGCACGCCTGTAGTTCCAGCTACTTGGAAGGCTGAGGAGTTAGGACCACTTGAACCCAGGAGTTTTAGTTCATCCTGAGCAACATAGTGAGACCCCCGTCTCTAAAAAAAATTGTGAAAAAGAAGGCCTGAGCCCAGCAGGTCATGGCTGTGGTGGCTATAAGCATACCACTGCACTCCAGCCTAGACGACATAGTGAGGCTCCAATGCAAAAAAAAAAAAAAAGATAAACATTAATCAGAGAATTACACAGAAAGCAGAGCAGTGGTTGGTGGAATTGACTGCAGAGGGCCATGAGGGAAGTTCTGGGATGATGGAAAATAATCTATTTCTTAATTATGGTGGTTACATGTGTGCGTATGTTTGTCAAAACATATTGTACATTTAAAATGGAAGCACTTTATCATGTAAATTTGACTCATTAATTGATTTAAAATAACTTAAGCTGGGCAAGGTGGCATGTGCCTGTGGTCCCAGTTGCTTGGGAGGCTGAGGAGTTAGGACCACTTGAACCCAGGAGTTCTAGTTCATCCTGAGCAACATAATGAGACTCCCGTCTTTAAAAAAAATTTTGAAAAAGAAATACTAAGATAAATGTTAAATTCCAGCTGTGATACGTTTCACAACAGAGTTACATGGGCTATGACAACATATAGTAGGAAGAATTGACATTGGCAGGGAGGAAATGATGATGAAAAGTAAATTAAGTGAAGTATGGGAGGATTGGTGTTAAGGGGACAGTATAAAAGAAATAGCATGTGCCAAGGCCCTACGGTTGAAAGGACTCTGGCAAATTGAAAAAGCTTGAAAAAGTCCATTGTGTGGAAAGCAGAAAATAGGAGGTAAAAGATGGAACTAGGAGGTAGGTAGGGCTAAACCTTGCAGGCGATTGTTAAATACTGAGTTGTATCCTAAGCACAGTGGAAAATGGTTGAAGTTCTTTAATTGGTTGTGAAAGGAAAGTTGATGGGGGGTAATAAAATTGGTTAGGGAAATACTGCTCTGGTTGTAGTGATGAGAATGAATTGGAGTAGCTATGGTAGATTCAGGAATACTTTAGTAAAATGATTATTTCAAGAGGCCAGGACCTATGATGAGGGTTGGTGTTGGAGAGACATGGACAGAATGCAAAGTGTGTTCAGAAGGTAAAAATGACAGAACTTAGTGATGGATTGAATATCGAATGGGGGAGGTGTCTTGGAGGACTGCTAGGTTTATAGTTTGCTGTTAGGGTGGATGGTGGTGGTTTTCTTTACTGAGTTAGAGAGTCCTCCGAGAGGACGCAGCTTTTTTTTTTTTTTTTTTTTTTTTGAGTTGGAGTCTCACTCTGTCACCCAGACTGAAGTGCAGTGGCATGCTCCCCGCCACCGCAGCCTCCACCTGCTGGGCTCCGGCGATCCTTCCACCTTAGCCTCCCAAGTAGCCAGAACTACAGGCGCGCACTACCATACCCGGCTCATTTTTGATTTATTGTAGAGACGAGGTCTCACCGTCTTGCCCAGGCTGGTCTCGAATTTGCAGGCTCAGGCAATCCTCTCGCCTCGGCCTCCCAAAAGTGCTGGAATTACAAGCTTGAGTCACTGCGCCCGGCCAGGACCCAACTTTTAAAGAGTAGGTACTGGGAAGAAGAGTGCATTTGGTGTTGGGCATTTTGAAACAATTTACCTAAAACAAACCCAAAGGGTCTTTAACAGAGTCCAGCAGATTAGCATCTTTATTCAGCAAACATCGAGGTCTTTTAGTGCAGTACGCTAGGTGTTGTAGGGGGTACTAGAAGAGCTATAAAAATACAAAAAATAATTGGACGCTTAGTAGGATCCTGGGAGAGAGACAGGCATATAAACAACCGCAAGAAAAAGAGCAGAAAAGGAGATCGTCCTCCAGATCACTAAGTTCATCATTTCTGTCTGTGATTCCTGCATTCTGGGCGATTCTCTGTCGATGTCCTCCAAGTCCAAACTTTTGATATAATTTGCAGTTTACGCCATTTGGATTCCTGAAGAATCTTCACAAACCACCTACATTCCTTATGGAGCTGTGGCACAACAGCAGGCCCACAGTGTCTCACCGGATTAATCAAACAAAACACAGGCACCCACGCTTGTGTTTACTGATATGGTATCTCCTCCCCTCGCTCCCGTCTCCTCCCCACCCCCCCATTTCCCCCGTCCCCCCCCGCCCACCCCCTCGCGACACAAACAACTTTCCGGAAGTAGCAAAATCTGTTCTCAAGATGAAACTTCTGGGCCCAGGCTCCACGGCTGCCAAAACCTGGGGGATGGCAAGCTAGAAGCCAGTGGTGAAGGTGAAGCTCGTGGACGGCCGTGACCGGGTCCTCCTCCTCCGATCGTCACCCAGTGGTGTCCGCGGGGCTGACGTCCAGAGGCCAGACACAGCCCCCACGAGTGACAACCTCCCTTTCGCGCGGTGGCGCCGGCGCAGCGGAGGCCGCGCGTCCTGAGGCGCACCCAACCCCCAAGGTGTGCCCCGGCCCCGCGAGGCTGCGGGCGGGCCGGCTCCGGGCGGGGGCCGGCTCCCTCCGGCCTCTCCACCCCAAACTGGCCCAACTGCCAATCGTCGGCCGCTCACCTCCTCTACAGCAGGTGACCCATGGCCAATCGCCAGGGGTCTCTTTGCCAGGAACCGGCAGGACCAGCCAATCGGGGCGGTCCCTGCGCCGGGGCGGGGACGGGGCTGGGGTGGAGGTGGGGTGAAGGGGTGTCCCGGGGCACGGCCGAACCTCTGTCTGGACCGCCTGCGCCGCAGCCCGGGGATCCGATCGAGGGGGAAGGAAAGGGGATCCGCGGGAGCAGTCCCGGCTCCCTCCCCTGGAGGCGCAGAGGGCGGGGCCCTTGGCGAATGGCTTTCTTGCTGGCCACTTGCGGAGTGAGTAGACCCCGAGGGTCTGGGAGAGGGGCCGGCCCCCACCCCTGAGTCCCCGGAGTCCCTGCTTCCTGCCGGGGGCCAGGCCGTGGGCGCGAGTGTGGCGCCCTCCCCGCCTCCTTCCCACCGCCCTCTGGGGTGAGTAGGACGACGTGGCTGCCCAGGCCCCTCTTCCCGGGCGCTCCCCTCACTTCCTCAGCCGAGGTGGGGTGGAGGCCGAGGCTAGGCACCTCCAGTCCGCCGAGAGGTCATTTGCCACCAAGTCAGACTTGGAAAGGTGTCTCTTTCCTTCCTTCGACTCGTTTTTGTGGAACTCTGTTTTCATTTTGAAAGATGTCTCAGATATGATTTTAAGCACTAAAGTTAAGCTTTCTCTTAATGTGAAAGCTAAATTTTGACCAGTTGCCCATTAATAGAATATCCAGTTGCAGGCCAAAGATTTTTTGGTGGTGTTTTATTTTTGACACTGTGGTCTTTTTGCCTGGCCCTGTGTTTTTATGTATAAAATAATTATGGATGCTATTGTTTGTATGTGTGTAGGGAAGAAAGTGGTTTTCTGTTTTTTTGGTAGCTCATGCAAAAATATTGAAAACTTTGGTATAGTTTTATGGAGTTCTCAACTGTCTTAGTTGTGGAAAGTTGAATATAATTAATAGACTAGGAAGCATATTTGAATCATGCACTTTTTCTTTTAGGCTTAAGGGAAATATTTATTTTTACTTTACAGTTGTGAGGTACAAGTGAGGATTTGCTACATAAGTAAGTTGCATGCAGCTGAAGTTTAGGCTTTTAGCAGGCCCTCTCTCCCTGATAGTAGACCTGGTACCCAGTGTGTTGCCATATGCCCACCCATTCCTTCTCCCTCCTTCCCCCCCCAACAATGCCCAGCTTCTGGGGATCCCACCCTTGTTGCTCATGAAACCAGTGATTAGGGCCCACTTATGAGTGAGAACATGCGGTATGCAGTTCTTTGTTTATGTGATAGTGCATCCATGTTGCAAAGGCCATGATTTTGTTTTTCTATATGGCTGTGTAATATTCTGTTGAGTGTATGTACCACATTGTCTTTATCTAGTCCACTTTCAATGGGCATTTGGGTTGGTTCAGTATTTTTGTTATTTTGGTTTGTGCTTCAGTGAACATACTCCTTGCAGCTGTCTTTTTGGTAGAGTGATTTGTGTTCCTCTGGGTGTATTCCCAGAAGAGGGCTTGCTCGATCGTATGGAAGCTTAATTTTTAGTTCTTTGAGAAATCATCACACTGTTTTCCACAAAGGTTGAACCAGCTTACATTCTCAACAGTGTAGAAACATTCCCTTTTCTCCATAGCTGCACCAACACCTCTTGTTTTTTGACTTTTTAATAATAGCCATCCTGACCGGTGTTAGGTGGTATCTCATTGTGGTTTTGATTTGGATTTCTCTGATGATGAGTGAGGCTGCACATTTTTTCATGTTTTTTGGCCGCTTGAATGTCTTCCTCTGAGAAGTATCTGTTCATGTCTTTTGTCCACTTTTTAATGGGGCTGTTTTTTTCCTGTCAATTATTTAAGTTCTTTGTAGATCCTTTATATTGTCACTTGACAGATGCATAGTTTGCAAATATTTTCCATTCTGTGAGTTTTCTCTTTACTCTCCATAGTTTCTTTTACTGTGCAAAAACTTTTCAGTTTGATATCCTGTCAGTCTTAACTTTTGTTGTATCTGCTTTTGAGTACTTGGGCATGAATTCATTGCCTACTTTGATGTCCAGGAAGGTGTCCTATTTTCTTATAGTTTGAAGTTTAACATTTAAGTCCTTATCCATTTTGAATTAATTTTTGTGTATGAATCATAAACTTTTTGCTGATATTCATACTATATCACAAGTTTTTTGGGTTTTTTTTGAGTTGGAGTCTCACTCGGTCACCCAGACTGGAGTGCAGTGGCCGCTCCTGGCCACCGCAGCCTCGACA